ATTTTCAGGGAGCAGGTCTGGGGCTGTTACCTTTGGACTTTCCAGATAACACCGTCGTGAGGCTGCCCAAGGGGGCCAACTCTAAGGCAAAACAGAGAGGATGGATGCTAATCCCAATCAAGGAAACGATGCAGGGGTGTTGCAAGGAGTGGAGCATGCTGGCTTCCTGACGGAACTCTGAGAAGTTCTTCATGGCGTCCATAGCTCGCAAGTGCTTCAGCATGGTATCTAGCAAAACACACAGGCCTCTTTTCACTTCAGCACATGGCATTGCAATAGGTGAACCAAGCAATGCGGCTTTAGCAGTTTTCTTTGAAAGCTAAAACTGTTTATAGGATTCTAAGAGCTGAGAAAACTACTGTAGGAAACAAACAATGTCTTTGCTTATTCTGATTATGCTGCTTTGGGCCTTCCCCTCCTTAGCATGAGCTGCTAATAGGCATTATTGCTACTGTCAGTGGGAGTTACACAAGTGCATTAGGAAGCAACTGGGGGTGGGATTTTTTGACTTAGGAGTGTAAGACCCACTGAAAGTCAGTGGGACTTGTGTTCTTCCATAATGTAAGTGCTTTTGAAAATCCGTCCCTATTCTCTTTAGAGCAGGGAGTCAGCAATTCATAAGCAGCATGTTACTATTATATAAAACTTCCAGCGCAAGAGACTTGCCCCCTCTGACTGCAACCCCAGCACAGGAGCCGTGCACAACAACAGTCCTCGTGCTAAGGGAAAGCAGAGGCCATTCATGGCTAGCCTTGCTGTTAGCACTTGCCATTGGGGCAGTAGCTGTGCTCCTCCACAGTTCATGGAGGCACTGTATGCTTCCCCTTTAAAACCAGAAGTGAGGACAGTGAGGTGCTCTCTCCCAGTCTCCAAGGCTGGGGAATAGCCTCCCAAGGGCAATGAGGGAAGCCCCATGATTTGTGATCTAAAACTAAACTGGCCAAAGTACTGGTAGACTCACCATACTAGCCCCCATGGGATTGACCGGATGATCTAATTGACCTTTCCTGTGTTTAACTTCTAGGACTCGCTATCAGTCCCAGTGAAGGGAGCACCTCAGAGAAGACCAGCTTTCAGAAGGTATGAAGACTGAGTTAGTAGTAGTAGTAATATTTGTATTATGGTAGAGGTCCCAATTAAGCCGAGTGCTAGGTGCTGTACAGTCACATGAGAGACAGTCCCTGCCCCAAAAAGCTGACAGTCTAAGTAGAAAAGACACAGGAAGTATCATCACCCCCATTTTACAGGTGAAGAACTGAGGTACAGATTGATTAAATGACTTGGCCAAGGTCACAGCTGGAAACTGAACCCAGATCTCTGGAGTCCCAGTCAAGTGCCTTGTCCACGCAACCACTTCTCTATAGCCAGACGGCTCAGGTTATGAGAGTCACAAGGAAGATGGAAGCAGGGGGATTTTGTCTTCTCCCCCAAACTGAGGGTCCGCCTTGGCAGAGCTCCCAGCCCCCTGCTGGCCAGCACGTGAGGTTTCACATCAAAACGGAGAATGCAACTCGAACCCCCAGTGCGGAAGTGCATTGTGTGCCAATGACCGCCAGCTGGCCTCAGTTCTCCATTTCTTATGCGTGTTTTCATAGGGTAAGCCTACACTGCACAAAACCTCTGCAGCAGCATGTCTCAGAGCCCAGAGCACAGGCTTGCGCTGTGGGGCTAGAAAACGCAGTGTAGGCATTCAGGCTCAGGCTGGAGCCTGGGCTCCCAGACCCTCCCTCCTCCCCAGGTTTCAGAGACCAGGCTCTGGCCCAAGCAGGAACATCTACACTGCTATTATTAGCCTCCTAACGAAAGCCCCATGACTCCAAGTCAACTGACCCGAGCGCCGAGATTTGCTGCTATAGGGTTGTTGTTGTTTTTTGCTGCAGAGACGTACCCAAAAAGGCTTTTTTCAAATACATCAATCTTCCTTCCCTTACAAGTTTTGCTGTATATTGGGAAGCTGTATTTAAATCGGTGCTGCCAGCCCTTAGCAGACTGAAGACGATTCAATCATAACTCGTAAACTCATTACGGACAGAGCAGATTTAAAAACATTACTCCCCCCCACACACACACACACGCATTCTGTGCACTGTACCTGTAGCCGAATTAGGAGAACTCTTGCATTTCTTAATCTGATATCTCTTCACTGCCACTGGTTTTCCTTGGTATTTTGCCTGATATATAATGGTTCCACTTCCACCCTGGCCAAGAACATTGTTTTCATTTTCACTGTATTCTAGTTTACTATTTTCCAGAAATAGTCTGCCAGTAATGTAAAAAAAATATATATATGTTTAAAGGAACTGTCATTTGTACAGTTAATCTGATTTTTTTCACACTTTTAAAAAGATTTTCATCTCAATAAAAGGTTTCCACTGCGAGGATGAGACTGTAAAAGTCACTTCGTTGTCCTTAGATATTTTGCATGCCGGTACACATTGCACATTTTTCTCACAGGAAGAGCGACGTGGGCAAACCTGCAAAACGGGCTGTCCACTGAGTCGAACATTCTCATCGGAAACCAACAAGATCCCAAAAGGCATCAAGGTGCCAAGCTCCGTTTCTAGGCTGATGATGTAAATCCAGCTGATATGGACAACGTGTGGCCAGTTTAATAGGGTTTTACTTCCTTTGCCTTCCAGCAGGACTTGGCCGTGCTCTGAAATCTGATTATTCTAACCAGCCTGCTGTTACCAGGCTGCAGTTCATCATTTCCCCACCCTTCCCAAGACAGCTTTTACAGCCACTCTGACATCAAACATTTCCACTTTCCTTGTTGTTAGTCAAATAAAACTCTAACAAATGACACCCCCGATGAGGGCCCACATGCCGCAGTGTTGGCAAGTTTATCCAGAATGATCCATTAAAACTACCTGGAGAAAGGAACGCCTGCTGTTAAAATGATTTATTTGATGGGCATACATGACTCAGCGCAAATGTTGGGAGCTCAGGGAGCAGCTGGTTAGAGCCCTCAGAGCTCTGCACCATGTCCAATCATAGGCACCGACTCCGGGGCTGAAGCACCCATGGGGAGCTCCTCACCTCCGCCTCTGCTTCGCCTCCGCCTCCTCCCCTGAGCACGCCACTTCTCCCCCTAGCTCCCAGTGCTTCCTGCCACAGCAGCAGCAAGCGCTGGGAGGGAGGGGGCAGGGTGGGGAAGGCAGCGTGCTCGGGGAAGAGGCGGGG